TATTGCACTCAATCCATAAAAAAGTATAATGGTAGGAAATAAATTTGCTCAATACCAAGGTTTTCAATTATTATCAAATAAAACATTCCCCTCATGTCTTTTACTATTAAAGTCAAGGAAGGCATAAGTGCCCTGTTTGTGATGATTCAGAGTGAGTACAGAAGATTCATGGTGGCTGGTTTTATTCAAATTTATCATTGAGTATTAAAAAACAATTTTGAAAACCAATGTTTTATTTCTTATTATATGTCAGAACAAACAAACCATCATGAATATTTTTGTTAATCCTCACCCGAGGATATTTTTCCTTTGATTTTTAGAGAGAGTGGAAGGGAGGGGGAGAGACAGAGAGAGAGATATATACATTGATGTGAGAGAGACACATCAATTGGCTGCCTCCCTCATGCACCTGATCCTCAATCTCAGGGATTGAGCCTGCAACCCAGGTATGTGCCCTTGTTCAAAATCAAACCCATGACCCTTCAGTTCGTGGACTGACTTTCTATCCCTAGCCAACCCAGCTATAGCCAAACCATCATGATTTTTAAAGGCTCAAACATTCACTATAAATATCCATTTTTCACATATTTTGATTTTACTATTTTTTAGAGAGTTAACTCTAATTTTGCTGACTAAAGGCATACCAGTTGAGAATAGTGACAGGCACATAATTACCACTCAAAATTATTTTCCTTTGAGTTAGATCTACTCTTATGCTATAAATACATTTTTTGACCTTTAGTATTTGAAAAAAAACATTTTTATCTCTACAGAATTTATCATCTGTCTCAGTTAGGATTATTTACTTGTCTGTTTCACTAAGTGCTAACCAAGTTAGATGAAATCGAGAGGGAGAACAAAATGGGTTTTTATATTATTTCTCAGGTAATAAATACCACTGATAAAATATCATGAAACTTTATTTTTTCTAATTATTTAGTGTACCAGATTTTATATCAGATAAATTATTTACTGGAATTTTAAAAATTGCAACCAAATTGCATGATTGAAAGTTTAATGCTGCTCATTTCTACTTCATATAGCCTACCAAGCTCCCTTCCTATTTTATTGCTCTTTTCCTGTCTTTGTTTCTTCTTTTTTAACTTATACAGCATTAGATCATTTTTTTTTTTTAGTTTTTTAAAAGTTCCTGTCTACTCCAATGATTTAGAGTTCTGTAGATAATACCATGCTTCTTTAAACCCAACCAGCAGTTGTCTTATTTGCTTATGGCAATTCAATGATATCCTAATATATAAATACCCTGGGTCCATCATAACTAGAGGCTCAACAAACCAGAAGTCAGTCCTGTAGTCAGCACTGGGTCGCATGGTGACCCACCACTGACAGCTATGGCAGTGAGTGTGGTGATCCAGCACTGACTGCTGAGGGGGCTACAGATCAGGCCTGGAGAGAGGCCTGAAGAGAGAAGGAGGGTCTGATCCATAGCCTCTGTGGCATTTGTTGATCAGCACTTGCCTCTCTCTTTCTCTCCAGGTCTGGCCAGCAGCCGTGCCTCCATTTCTCTCCAGGCCTCCACCAGGGCTGCTGATTAGCCCCACCTTTCTGATCAGGCCTCGTTGATAGGCCCAGTGATGCTGACCAATCAGAACCAAATCTGGGTGAAGTATGAGGAGCCAATGGCTGCATAGGAGGCAGAAATTTTGATGCTTACTGGCATGGAAACCAACCAATCAGAACCAAATTGGCTGGCAGAGGAGGGCAGTTGGGGGTGAACAGGCCAGCAGGGGAGGGCAGTTGGGGATGTGATCAGACTGGCAGCAGAGGACAATTGGGGGCAATCGGGTTGGCAGGGGAGCAGTTGGGTGTTAATCAGGCCAGCAGGGGAGTGGTTAGTGGGTGATCAGGCTGGCAGGCAGAAATGGTTATGAGCCAGCAGTCCCAGAGTGTGAGAGGGATATCCGACTGCCGATATCCTAAACCAGCAGTCGGACATCCCCCGAGGGGTCCCAGATTGGAAGGCTGCAGGTACTAGAGGCCCGGTGCACGAAATTTGTGCAATGGGGGGCCCTCAGCCTGGCCTGCACCTTCTCACAGTACGGGACCCCTTACTCCTTATCACCTGCCTGCTTGCTGCTTCTTACTGCTTGGCTAGCTGCTCCTTAGTGCTGCCACAGAGGTGAGAGAGGCTCCTGCCACCACCACTGTGCTAACCAACCATGCGCCTGGCTTCTGGCTGAGTGGCGCTCCCCCAGTGGGAGTGTATTGACCATCGGGGGAAGCTCCTGCATTGAGCGTCTGCCCCCTAGTGGTCAGTGAGCATCATGGTGACCAGTCATTCTGGTCATTCCACTGTAATGGTCATTTAGACTTTCATTATATAGATAGAAGCATAAAATAGTAAAATATTTAAAATACAATTGTTGTTATTATGTCAGCCCTTCAAATGCATATTTACATGGCCATGTTACTCATTGTTCCATTGCCTTGATGTTTGGGGCATTTAAAAAAAAATAGCAACAAACAGCAGTGATAAATTTCAATGGTTTTCTGGGGAGAAGCATTTCAGAGAGGCACTGTCCTTGGAAACCATTCAATTCATTCTTATCAAAAACACAAGGACAGGGTACAATGTTTTTTGTGTTATATAGCAATAGAGGTACAATTACAATGTGAGGATATGATGGTAAGGAAGGCAGATGCGTCTAGTGGAATCATTGCTCAGTGACCAGAGCTATAGTTCATAACATTTACAGGTCTTATTTTAACCAATCACCACATCAAAGAATCTCAGTTCTACCATGATAAAAACCTAAGCTTTTGCTTTTCCTTTTTTAAAATGTTAACACAACTTTATATTTATATGATTTTTATTAATGCCTCACTAATGACTTTGTAAATTCCATCATACCTGGTTTATTTTTATTTACTATTACCAGTTCTTGCTCTATAATTGGAAAATCACTGTCAAGAAATATATTGTGTCCTAAGGACTGAATATCTTAAACTCTACTTTGAGTATGCCAACTGATCAAACAGCTAGCAAAGCCTTGAGAAAGGAGATTTAAACAGGATCACAAGAGGAATTAATTCAATGTGGGGAAACAGGGGCCATCACAGATTGGTGCACCAAAAGCAAAGTGTGAAAGATTAAAAGCATAATCTAGGTTTTCCTAACTAGAGGCCATTGTATTGTAATGAGCAGTCCAAATACAAAGAGACAGATAGATAAAGTAGGCACATGAGTAGTAATAACTAGCAGTAACTGTAGCAGCAGTGATTGTGAAAGTGGAAAGCCCTAGGCATTAGAAATCTGATGCTCATAAGGGCACAGAGAATCTCTGTACATTCTATAGTCAGGATCTTTCTGGAAACCATATGGGAAGAAGATAGCTGACAGGATGGGGACAGGCGGAACCCAAGGAGGCCAGAAAAAGAACAAAAGCTAACTCACCCACTCAGAGTGACAGATTCTATAAATCTTTAGAATTGGTAACAGGCAGTCCATTGGAGACATAATTTGAATTTCTTTTGAGTTCAAATTTAGATTTTAGTAAGACTATACACACCTACATAGTATTGATTTATTTTTTTTATCTATCCCTCTGCCAAATACAGTTTTAACAATTTTGATTTATGAGTTAGAAAATTAATAATTAAACTCAGATGGATTTAGCTGATTACCTGGTGATGATATAGGAACTTGGGCAGGTTCTGCTTTAACGGAATCCTCAGGCGGCAGTCACAGGCACCTGTTAATAGTTGAAATAGGGAATTTGGGGGTCGGGGGTAGACTTTAATGTTTCTTGTCTTATGCTGCTAGAGATATACGCACACAGAGCAGCTCCCCCCCCTCAAATATTTGTTATTTCATGGGAGAACCATAGTACACACACACACACACACACACACACAGGAACTTGTCTACATCATTACTCATTGAAAGCATTTCTTCTCCCTTAGTTTGTGCTCCTCTTCACAAGAGAAAAAAAAAAAACCCAAAACAATAACAACAAAAAACACAGGCAGAATAAAGTAACATCATTTGTCAACCTCTTTCTAAATTTGGAATCAGTCCAAAAAACCCAGAAGGAAGTTCAACTCAGCCACAGTTAATCTGCAGAAAATCCACCCCACGTGACCTGCCTCTGTCTCCATCACTACTAATCTTTTCATGTATTCTTTATAAAGAATCCATTGAACTTTAATTAATATGAAAATTCAGGTTTTCATCTGATTTAAATGTGATTGACAGAATGCTGCTTCTAAAAGCAGAACAAAGTGCAAGCATGGTGAAAGTCAAACTTAAAACCTGGTGCCTGCCACAGCTGTATTTTCTCACCACCAAATCCTCTCTAGCATTTCCATGATGCATGACAGTAACACGTCAATAGCATTTTGTGGGAATCTTGATGTCCATACCTATAAACAGGGACATACTTGAAGAATTCCTATACACAGGAAGGACATGATTCAATATCTGTCAAATGAATCAGTTGTCTTTAGTTCAAGCTAAAAATGGCTGTAGTTTCACAGTAACTATGTATATGCTTCCCAAAGAGTCAATGGGGTAAGGAGGATAGTCTTTAGAAGTGAAAACACACACACCTACATCATTTTGCCCTTTGCACACATGCACATTTCTCCTCGTATTCCGTGAACTGTTTAAAGTAGACACAAATGTGTTCTTGGAAGGGAGCAGAGTAGCACAAGGCACCTTTCTCTCAGTTCCCAGTCATTAGCATTCTGCTTGTCATGGACCAGGCTGCTCTCATGTTTATGCATTCTGCTTATCCATGTGTATGGGGTATGTGTCCTGATGGTGCATAGCGCCTTTTGCAAGGACTGATCGTAATCCTACACCCTGCTTCCTCCATAGAATGTAGTATACTGTCATAGCAATGTGCAAAGGCCTAAAGAGTGACTATGAGAGCAAAATTCACACATTGTTCATTTCTATAAAATATCCTTGGCATTGTGTTTCAAAATGTAGTCTGTTAAAAAATTATTGAACATCCCTCCCTTTCTCTGCAGTTATGGGCCCCCTTCATGGCTGGTTGGCCTTCTTCCTCACATGTCTTCTCACAAGCAATTCCTGGCCAAGAAAGGGAAGCAGGATTTTGCATTTCTTCTTATGGATTTTTATGAAAAACGGGTGATAAAATCAAGTACAATTCAGAAATAGACATTGGAGAAGAGCCAAGGTAGGTCTATAATGAATGGCTCATATGTTTATGCTGCATCAAGGTCATTAACATCTTGCTATACCAAATTGAAACAGCCACCACTATCTGAATATGTTTTACTGAGAAAATAATGGCTTTTTAATTTATTTCAAAGCCTCTTTGTTGGTAGACTGGTTCAGTAATAAATATGTGAGATATTTTGTTTGAAAAAGAAATAAAATTTAAAATTAAGAGATGCTTTAATTCTGTCTATTGTCCCTGGTCAGCTTAGTTCTAGGTACATCTATCGCTATTTCCCAGTATTGCAAATTGTGAAAAGTATAGGTCATCTCTTACCAAGCAATGTGATTATAGAGATTCTAATTTAAATTTAAACATTCTAAGAAGGTGTCTCTTATAAAAAAAAATTGAAATTCTAGTTAGTTTACTTAAAATTTGAGGCATTTTAACTTATTTTCAGTTTCATATCATTTTTCCAGTAAAGTCTGATAAGTACAAAAAGGACACTTTTACATATATGTATACACATATACAAAGCTATATACACATGTATAAAACCATCCTACCTAATAATAGCCAAAAATGGTAATTGATCATACCTTCCCTAATCCTCCCATAGGCTAATTAGCAAGATATACAAATTAACCGCCAACAAAGATGGCAGCTAATTTCCATACTGCAGGCAGGGTGGGACAGTGCGAGCCTCCAGCGCCAGCTGCCATCCAGGACCCCCGTGGGTGGCGCCAGAAGCCATTTGCCTGCCGCCCGGGACTGCATCTGGTCCCGGGCTGCAGGCACGCTGGCCCCACAAGCCCCAGGAGCCATCAGATATGGCAGTAACTCTATCAGTAAGCACTCTGAAAGTCAGTGGCATAAATGCACCAATTAAAACACAGATTATGAGGGTGACTCAAAAACAAAACCCACTTTAATTATAAAGACACATATAGATTAAAAGTAAATGAATTAAGCTGCAGCCTGTTTTGCTCAGTGGATAGAGCATTAACCCATGGCAGAAGGGCCCCTGGTTCGATTCCAGTCAAGGGCATGTACCTCAGTTGCTGGCTTGATCCCCAGTCCCTATCAGAGCATGTGCAGGAGGCAACTAATCAATGTGTCTCTCCCTTTCCCTTCACTCTCTCTAAAATCCAATGGAAAATATCATTGGGTGAAGATTAACAAAAACAAAGTAAATGGAGTAAGTAACTGAATTTAAAGAAGGGATTAGCCAACGAAAATATTTGTACAACCCCATGGACACAGATAACAGTATGGTGATGGCCAGAGAGAAGTGGGGGGCAAGAGCTGGGTAGAGGGGGCAAAAGGGGGGAAATAGGGACACCCTATCTCCACTAATAAAAGAGAAAAATGGTAATTGGCATACGACGCTACCCTTTTCATTGGCTAATCAGGGCTATATGCACATTAACTGCCAACTCAGATGGCAGTTAACTGACAACAAAGATGGCGGTTGATTTGCATATGTAGGCACAATGCAGGGAGGCGAAAGGGAAAGCAGGAAGAAGCCCCCTGCCACTGACAGTGATAGGAAACCCGGGGGGAGCTAAGAGCTGGGGGGCAGGGCAAAGGCGGCCCTGGTCAGTGATAGCAGGAGGTAGTGGTGGAGCCAGCAATGGGAGCTGGGCATGGTTGAAGCTGGCAGTCCCGGGAGCTAGGGGTCCCTTGCCTGGGCCTAAAGCGAAGCCCACGATCGCAGGGCCGCTGCAGCTGCGGGTCCCTGCTGCCCGGGCCAGACGCCTAGGACAGAGGCGTTAGGCCTGGGCAGGGGCGGAGCCTGCAACCGCGGGGAGCTGGGGGTCCCCTGCCCAGGCATGACACCTCTGCCGGAGGCCTCAGGCCTGGTCAAGGGGCCGATCCGGTGATTGGTGATTGGAGGGTGATGAGGGTCAACTCCTCTGGCCGAGGCATCAGGCCTGGGTGGGGGGCGGAGCCGGGGATTGGGGGGATATGATGGTCCCCTTGCCCAGGCCTGAAGCCTGGGTCAGAGGCGTCAGGCTTGGGTGGGGGGGTGGAGCAAGCGATCAGAAGGAAATGGGGGTCCCCTGCCCAGGCATGATTCCTGGGCCAGAGGCCTCAGGCCTGGGCG